ATTGGATGGAATAAATTCAGTTTCATGGTTTTGGCACCTGGGCACCATAATTGAGCTTAAAAATATGATATTAAATTGAATAAACAAATAAAGTTTACTAATAATAATAATATCATTAATTAATATTAATATTAAATATTAACTAATTATAATAAATATTCATGAATATTTGATATTGAAAATATTATTTTTATTTAATTTATAAATATAAATAATTTCTCCGTTTGTTCCCTGAGTTTGTTTTACTTGGCTTCACGTGCTGGTACTATACCGGCCCGGACCGTTGACCTTTAGAGGGGCTGACCCCCAACATCTTGAAATATAATTCATCACTTCCACAGAACTAAAAAAGTTGTTGCACAATGATGCCATGCCCACACAGGTTTCATAGTGAGTTCACAACCTTTGTTGCACTGGGGGATCATATGGGGGTAACTGTTTACAATTTCTTCTAAAACATGGATGGCAATGCTTTTAAGAAATAGATTACACCTTTATACAAGATACAAAGAAAAATAAGGACTGGCAATATTATTAAGCATTTTATTGATCCTCTTATGATTTTTTATATTTTTACCGTAAAATTAAATAAAGCTAACCAAATATATGCAAGTCACAAAATAGAAGTGTCGACACTAAAGAAATAGGCCCATGGCCTGTTGCCGATTCTTGTACTTTCCGTGAAATATAATTGGAATATATGGTAATTTTGTAGAATGCCAACTACAAGGCAGAGAAAGGGATTCCGGTTCGAGCTGCGATCGACGACGGACGTTAGTAAGTTCCTAAGCCAGTAAGCCTACATATCTGGTTTTTAAACTTAATATTTATTTTATTAATTATATCCATTTTATCCTTATTATTTGTCTTGGTTTTTTTCCCTGTGTGTGTTCTCTCTTTGTTTCAGATTTTCACTTTCAGAGCTGTTAGACTGTTAGGTATCAATTAAAGCCAGTTTAGGCAAGGGGCTTTATGGACTAGTTTCCAGTGCTCTTATAAGAATAACTAAAAAAAAGAGAGCTTTGGTTGATTGTGGCAGTAACAGTGCTTACTGCTGCTAATCGAGTAGGCTAATCGTATTTTGACTGCCGGAACTTGGTTTCGTGGCGGATGGTTCAGAGCTGCGATCGACGACGGACGTTAGTAAGTCCCTAAGCCTACATATCTGATTTCAATTTTGAAACTTGAGATTACTGTGGTTTTGAACTCTGAGAAACCTAAGAATTAATCAATAGCACGACATTGTCAACTACGAGAATGAGGCAGAAGGAGAGTAGCCTGTCTTCAGATGAAGGCAGCAACTCTCCTTCTTTGCCTGAACTAGTTGGGTCGCCTTTACCCATGGGAAATAGATCAGAGGATCATGTATTTGTCCCAGAAACACCTGGCTCACCATCATTAGATGCATCCTCAACTATTCCAGGCTCTGCTTTTGGAAGGCCAGCTGCCACTGCCACTGGTGGAGGGACTGGTTTCTCCAGAAAGAATGACTTTGGAGGTTTTCCTGCTGGCAATCACCCTTGTGATCTCTCTTGGCTCGGAAAATTCTGAAGATGAGATCTTAACTCCTGCCCAGAGACTTGGAAAAGGCCATAGTCTATCCTCTGATTCCTTTGGGAAAATTATCGTTATCGAACCAGTGGCTGATGCTCGCCCAGTTGAAAAGTTTTTTTCAAATGACTTAGCCCTCAGCAAGGCCTTAGCTGAGTCTCCTTTTGGCCAGGCTGGAATTGCTAAGTTTAGTAAAAATTTAGGACGAAAGATTCTGGTTATTACCTTGGAAGATAAGCCTGGTATAGAAATGTCTGCTTTGCTAAGCACCACACAACTTGGTTCCTGGATTGTAAAGTGTCGTGTGCCAGCCAATCACTCCAAGTCTGTTGGAGTCATTGGACCCATGGGAGAGGATATCTCAAACGAGGAACTTACTGAAGCTTTGGATTTGGCTGGCTATACTGGTGCCTCTGTGGAAAGAATACAAAAGGTAAAGAGAAGATCAATACCTCTATGTTTAAAGTAACTTTCAATACAAACACTCTGCCCCCTTCTATCAAGCTAGGCTACCAGCGCTTCCAGGTAAACCCGTACACTGCTAAACCCTGGCAGTGCTTCAAATGTCAGAGATTTGGACACAGTGCTATAAGCTGTAGGAGTGCTCCACGTTGTGTTAAGTGCGGAGGTGCCCACAGTATCAAAGACTGCACAACTCAGGGTTTTCCTCATTGTTGTAACTGTGGCAGTGAGCACACAGCAAGCTATGGAGGGTGCAAAGTTATGAAAGAAGCACAGATAGTTGAAAAAATCAGAGCTAAGGAAGGAATTTCTTATAAGGATGGCCTTAAGGTTTTCCAACTGCAACATTCAGAAAATAATCATGGTCCTCACACAATATCTACTAAAACATCCAACAGATATATGTCACAATCTGCTCTGTCCTCTGCTGCCTCTAGTGAGCCCAAAACCTGGGCTCAAAAAGTCAAGTCACAACATCATCAAGCCATCCAAGTAGTAAGCACTGGTACTCAGACTCGGGATGATCTTACCCCTCTCACCATGCAGGGCATAACTATAAACAAATTTATTGAACTTATGTGCAAAATCATTTCTCTCTACAAACACTCAGACAACTTAGATATTGTTAAAACTGTCACTGACCTAACCAAGGAAACCTTGAACCATGTCAGCCTAGCCTGTCCAGATATTATATGCACTGATGTTCCTATGAGTGCGGGGGTTGTTCGCAAACCTGATCCCAGCATCAGACTGGCCCAGGGCTCTTCCAGTGATCGTGATGAGGGGACAATTCCCACGGTAGTGGATGCAGAAATGATCATAGATTTTCCTGAGCCATCTCTGATTATTGGCAAATGTACTGCCAGGGCATCCCATCAACCTTCTAAACCTGGAGGTAACCAGGGACCAAGCAAAGGCAAGAGCAATCATCAAAGCACAGATGTCAGCTTACTGGGAACTAAAAATAAAGCAAACTCATCCAAAAAATGTCCTCCGTCCAAGAACTGAAGATTTTACAGTGGAATTGTCACAGCATTAGTAATAAGCTTAGCAACTTCAAATTGCATATTTACACCAGCAAACCCCATGTTATCTGCCTGTCTGAAACCTGGCTCACACAGAACTATGAACCTAACTTCATTAATTATAGTGCAATTTACAAACACAGAGGAGCTCCACAGGCTGGGGGCGGTCTTGCTGTTCTTATTTGGAGTGACATCACATTCCTTGACCTGGCTATTCAACCTTTCCCTGGGGGTGCCCTGGAAGTCCAAGGCATAAAGGTCTTTCTGAAGAACAATTCCTCTCTTTCCATCCTGAATATTTATAACCCTAACCAACCAATCACTCTTAATGAACTTCAGCACTATTTTCAACAACTGGGGCCTTCAGCCATTGTTGTGGGAGATTTCAATGCTCATCACCCCCTATGGGAGCCAACAAAGGCACCAAACACTGTACTGGTAGGAACTTAATGGACCTCTTGTTCCAGTATCCAATGCTGGCTCTGCTCACACCTCCTGACCTTCCCACATATTTTAATGTCTACCTCAACTCCGTCTCCACCCTTGATCTGACCATAATTTCAACAAATCTGCAACCACTTTCCTCCATCTATACCGGCTCTGATATGGGCAGCAATCACTATCCAGTCATCACCTCTGTTGGAGTGGAGCCTACCTCCACTCGGTTCAGGCGCCGACCTGCTTGGCAGTTTGATGCTGGATCTTGGGCAGATTGGTACTCTGCCCTGCCTCAGGCTAGCACTGACGTCTCGCCCAACCTTGCTGAAGCCGCTCAGAAAATTGCAAGTAATATAGTCTTGGCTAGCACTAGGGCATTCCCACAAACCAAAGAATATGTCACACCTAAGTACAATAAGGTTTGGTGGACGCAGGCCTGTGATGATGCTGTTCGGTCTAGTAGAGCAGCAAAGAAACTACTCATTTCTCAGCCATCACAGGAAAACCTGATTAACTTTAAACGTTGTCAGGCCAAAGTCAGGTGGGAGGTGAAAATGGCAAGGAAGGCCTCATGGAGAAATTTCTGCAACACTATAACCTCTGACACTCCAACTGCCATACTGTGGAATCGGGTAAGGAAATTGCAGAATCCTTTCACTCGCAAATCACAGCCATTTGTGATGCCTAATTTGATCCGTTCTGACCCTATTTCCAAGGTGGCTGCCCTGGCAGATCATTTTGAGCAGGTTCTCTCCTCCCCAACTCCAACTCCTTATCCTAATTTTGTTGTCCTTCCCCTGGCTCTTGCTTTGAGTACTGACCTCCAAACTCCCCTCAATGCTCCATTTACATTGTATGAGCTAGAAACTTGTCTAAGCTCCCTTAAAAATTTCTCCCCAGGTCTGGACTGTATACACAACAAACACCTTTCTCTTCTCCCTCCTGAATATAAAACATGGTTGCTGAAAATATTCAATGAAAGCTTTACTTCAGGGACAGTCCCACATGAGTGGAAGACAGCACTAATCATACCCATCTCTAAGCCCAACAAGGCTTTAACCTCTACAAACTCCTACCACCCCATATCCCTGTTGTCCTGTGTAGCCAATCTGATGGAGAGGCTGGTAAATAGACAACTAAATTTCTTCCTTGAGCAAAACCACTCTTTTAGGGCCAGCCAGGGAGGCTTTAGATCTCGCTTATCTGCTATTGACCAGGTGACAAGACTGGACACTGCTATCAGAGACAGCCTTAGGAGCAAGTCTGTACTTGTTGTTATTTGCAATTTTAGCAATGCATTCGATACCGTATGGCACATCGGCCTCCTGTATAAACTGAGCAGGTGTAGGGTCCAGGGAAGGATGTTGCGCTGGCTCAGGGATTACTTGACAGGCAGATCCTTCAAGGTATTTTTTGAAAGAGAATACTCTGTATTGCATGGGATCAAGGCGGGTGTTCCTCAAGGTGCCATCTTATCACCTACACTCTTTAATGTTGTAATGAGCGACATACCCTCCGTACCAGGTGTGCGCTGCGCCGAGTATGCAGATGACATAGCCTTCTTCTCCTCTGATGCTGACATTGTCCTAGCCACAGCCAGAGTACAGACGCAGCTCTCTGCTTTCTGTACCTGGTCGCAACAGTGGGGACTATAATTGAACCCTTTGAAAACTAAATGTATGTTTTTCACAAATAAACAAGTGGTCCCCCAGCCTTTACACATCAATGGTCAGCCGATTGAGACAGTTCCTAGGTATAAGTATCTCGGGGCTGTCCTGGATGCACCCAGGCTGCGATGGGGCCCTCAAATTGAAGCACTGAAGATTTCCTGTCTCCCTATTATAAACCTACTCAGATCCATCTCTCACAGAGAATGGGGTGCTGACCGCACACTACTGATAAAACTATACAAAATCCTAATACTTAGTCGACTAGATTATGCTGCTCCACTTTATGCATGTGCCTCACCTACCCTTTTATCAAAGTTGAACGTTATACAAAACACTTGCCTCCGCCTTGCTATAGGATGTCGTAAAACAACCCCAATCTCGTCCATGGAAGTCGAGGCCCATGTTCCCCCACTTTCCATCCACCGCCTGGAGCTATTGTGTAAATATTATTACCATATCATGTAGCTGCCATTACGCTCCATAATGGTGGATATCTTCCAACCAGTTCATCAAATTCAGCCCTCTCCATGCTCTCGCTCCTTCCTGCCACCCTTTACTCTTAATGCCAGGAATGCGTTCACCAAGTTACGCCTTCCTGTCCCCCTTCCTCGCAGATACTCACTTATCTCCCCTCTTCCACCCTGGTTCAACACCAGAGACTGTATTTATACCAGTTTCTCAATGACCCCAGTAACCTCTCTTTCTTCCAGTAATGCAATCCAGATCTTCAGAGATCTTCTCCAGACCAAGTTTGCTGGATTCACTGCTGCCTACACTGATGGCTCACATGTGCAATACCCAGTGGCCTCAACCTCAGCTGCTGTGGTGATTCCTGCTAGGGGTGTGGTTCTCAACTGGAAACTGCGACCTGAGATTCATGTAATTGAATCTGAGCTCTTTGCCATTCATGAGGCACTCCACTGGGCAGAAAATAACCTAAGAGATGCAGAACGTCTTGTGATTTTCTCAGACTCCCTGAGTGCCCTAAACTTAATCGAGAATAGGAAGCCACAAGTGCTTGTACATTTGGTTTTTCTAATACAAGAAGAACTAATTACTCTGAACCCCTCTCACAGAATAAAACTGCAGTTTGTGCCTGGTCATCGTGGAATTGCGGGCAACGAGGCTGCTGATCACGCAGCATGTGAAGCACATGCACTCTGGTATCGTACAATTACCCCAAAGTACATGCAGGAACTGGTAAGATGTCTGCATGACACAGCTTATTATTACTGGCAGCAAACTTGGCTTGGGAATGCCCAAGCCACAGGAAGGGGCCTCGTCCTAACCAAAGTGAAATGTAAGGTTGGCCTCTGGCCATGGGCAGCAAATAAGAACAGAGGCACTGAGACTGCACTGGCCAAATTACGTCTTGGACATGCGGGTGTCAATGCCCATATGGCGCGTTTCAACTTGCTAGACAGCCCTCGCTGCTCCTGCAGAGCTGAGTCTGAAACAATCGAACATATGCTCCTCCACTGTTCGCTCCACAGAGATGCTCGGAACACTTAATAATTCGCTATCTGTACTAAATGTAAATCTCTCTCTTAGAAACTTGCTTGGAGGAGGCCCCTTCCCTCTAGAAACTCAAAATGCAATTGTAGAAGCTGTTGCTACATACCTTAACACAACTAATAAACTAAAATCTCTGTAATCATGTTTGCAACACTAACGTGCTAACTATTATTATTGTTATTATTATTGTTGTTGTTGCCTAATTTCTAACCAACTTCACAGCTAATTCCTATTAATATGCATAGTCTTACTAACAATCTGTGGGACTAACATTACAGTTAAATAAATTTCTCCCAATGCACCTTTCTGAGTGCTGTCTGGGGTGCAACCGGGGGCACTCTATGCAGCCCAATCTCCTGTAAGGACTGCCTTATGTAAGGAGTGCCTTTGTTTGCCTCTACGTAAATAATGCTGTTCCCTTTTCTCCATCAGAGCCCGGCCCATAAGGGAGTCCTTTTGCCCCAGTTTATAAATGTAAAGTTAGTTAATGGCCTGTCTGGCATCAAGAAGCTCCAGGCTGGACCTTCAGTTGGACTGAGCTAGTGCTGTGACTCTCGTATGAGGCAAAGTGTAGGGCATGCCTTGAGTAAAAGCTAACCTGGGGACACCTATTGTTGGGTCACCCAGACACCCACTGGTGTGTATGAATAGTTTGGGTATGCATTTTGGTGCTAAATTGCTTTCTTGGTTCATATTAAATTGTGTGCATTACCTGGTGATGGCCTTCATGGAGGGGGGGAGGGGCTCTGCTTTCATTTCGGGCATCCTCCTCTCCCCTTCCTAGTCATCCCAGGTGGGGGCACCATTGTCATTAATTATGCAATTACTAAGTTGGACTTAAACTTCTTTGGCACTAGGATGCACAGTCTGAACTGGTTGTTGGGCCACCTCTCTGAGGAGGTCCTTGTGTATGTATAGATCAATGTGGGAAACTCATGTTTTGGGAATTTATAGACATGTAGCTAAGTTATGAAACCCTTAGTTTCATGAATAATGATCTTTTTACAGATTATCTTGTGCAGCTCTGCCATGTTTCGCGACTGGACAGTGTTCCGCAGCTCTGCCATCTTTTGCAGCTCTGCCGTGTTCACAGATTTGTTGTGTTTCACGTCTTTGCCGTGTTTCTCGGCTTTGCCGTGTTTCTCGGCTTTGCCGTGTTTCACGGCTTTGCCGTGTTTCTTGGCTTTACCGTGTTCTGTGGCTCTGCCGTGTTTCACAGCTCTGCCGTGGCGTGTTCTCTCCAACAGGTGCTAAGAATAGGAAGATCTTGAGATAGGCAGGGAGCTGGAGTTAGGCAGGGTTGCGTACTGATTAAGAGTAACTGTGAAGTCCAAAATGCAGCACGTGAAGAAATTACTTAGGCAAATATAACTTAAAACCCTGTCGTGGGGCCACATTAGACAAGTTTTCAGAGGCTCCCACAAATCTGAAACGAAAGAAAAAAAAGCTTCGGTTGACTACAGAGGGGATATACTCCACCGCACTGTGGGATCTGGGTGAAATTTTCAAAGGGTGACCGAACACGTGCTTGATAGTTGTTGCCAAATTTTGTCGCGAGAGCCGGCTCTTCTACTTCCCAGCATTGCAAAACTACTTCATAATATATATATTTCAGTAATATCTGAACTTTATTTTGTAAATTTTGTTTCCTATTGTGAAACTGAGGGGCTTGGCAAGTTGGCTCCATGTCAGCTTTGCCTGGCACAATGGGCAAACACAGAAAGAGGAAACAAAGCGAGTCACCTCATCACCCTGGTAAGATATGCCCTTCCGACATTATTGACCAACAACCACCTTCACTCAACTCAGTTAGTACTAATAGTCTAAGTCAGCCACATGAGTGTGAGCCACCTCTTCCAGAACTGCCTTTACTGAGCTAAGCTCCCTTGAACTTCAACATAGTTTGTCCATGCTTCCAAGTCCAAGCAGTGATGGCCAACCTGCCTGCTTAATTACTAATAGCCCTTTAAAATCTGTTCTTAATATACCTCAAGCCACAAACCAGGGTTGGCAATGATTAAATCAAAATGATTAAATCATGTGATTAAATCACTTTTTTTTATAAAAATCGTGCTTTTTTTTATTTTTTTGATTTTTATCTATTTTTTTTTATTTATTCATATATTTAAATTTATTGAGTGGCAGTCTTTAATTGTTATTCATGGTTTAGGTATTGTTATTCATGGTTTAGTATAAATGTACCACTATAAATGACAAATTGGTATATAAACTTGTTGCCTTTAGTGTGTATTAGGTTCAAATAAATTGAATGTTTTTGGTACAGAGGCATCAAGTGTGCAATACATTGTATGTAGTTAGCATCTTAGCTAATTCTTATAAGGCTATAAGTAGTCTTTAACTATTTGACTACTTGTTATATATTGATTACAATATACAATTTAAATGTGTTAGCTAGCTTATACAGGGTGGAGCAGAACTGACTGAACAGTTTTGGGGCAAAATAAAAGAGTAATGGAGGTACATAAAGAAGAAAGTTTATTTTCCTCAAGATTAGCATTACATACCATTTAAAATACTTATGTTTTGCAAACAATATCAGGAAAATGGGGTTAGTTAGCTGCATCACACTGTTGGAGTCGTTCTCGGAAGTTTCCTACAGCATGTTCACACATATGGCGAGGTATGGCCATAACCTCTGCTGCAATAATCCATCCCCTTAGCTGTGGTAGGGTGTGAGGGCAACTTCTGAACTTCTCTTTTAGATGTCCCAAAGAAAGAAATCACAAATGCTCAAATCAAGTGACCTCGCAGGCCACTGTATATCACCCCTCAGAGTCTGGGAACATGTGTTTCAAAACATTGAGTGACATTCGGGCTGTGACGCTGTATGAGCTGTAGCCCCATCCTGCTGGAACCACACATCCCCCAATGCTTCATTTTCAACAATGTTTTCCGTCATGGGCTGCAAGAAATTTTGCAACATTGCAGCATAATGATTGGAATTCACTATCATGGTTACTTCCTCCTCCAAAAACGACTCCAACAGTGTGTTGCAGCTAATAGCCCCCATCTTCCAGATATTGTTGTCAAAACATAAGTATTCTAATTTCTAAATGGTATGTTATGCTAACTTCTAGGAAAATAAACTTTCTTCTTTATGTACCTCCATTACTCTTTTATTTTACCTCAAAACTGCTCAATTGGTTCTCCCCCACCCTGTATATTAAGAGGTTGAGATTGTATTGACCTTTTAGGCAATTAGAAAGATTTACCACCCTAATACGAGTATTCTAAATAAAATATTTAATTTCAAACTTTAAATATGTGAATTTAAAACTAGAAACAAAACAATTACAATTATAAGACTATATATAAAATAATTAAATGCAGTGAATAGATATAAAATAATTTGAATTGTGCACATGTTAATTTCAAACAGTATTAGATTTTCTCCTAACTTAAGTCTTGTTTCAAGTCGTATGAGGTTTGTTTGGTTATCGTTCAGTTTACGTTTAGTATTGGTTTATTGGTCTGAATTAAATGGGAACAGTGCAGTCAATCACTCAGTCACTACTAGTAGGAGTATATAGAGGGTAGAGTCTGGTAGATTTATAGGACATAAAACTAGTAGATCTATTGATAGTGTTGTGTACTGTGATATCAGCTACAGTCACTACTAGTCGGTGTGTATAGAGGGTAGAGTCTGGTAGATTTTTAGGACATAAAACTAGTGGATCTATTGATAGTGCTGTGCACTGTGCTATCAGCTACCTATCTGTTATGTGACTCTTCAATGTTTAGAAGATCTGCATTCCTGAAGTGTTTTTGTATATTGAAGCCAGTTAAATGGTCAATATTTAGCTCATTACCTTGCTCCATACAAACTTTACAAAGCTAATGAATAGACTTATCAATAATTGTTTACCCAAAAATCCCTAAGTGGTAAACACCACCTTGGCCTGTTGGCCATTATTGAAGGCAATAAGTGCCCTTTTTAGCCATCCATTATGATCCATATAGGTAACTATTTAAACAGGGTATAAATAAACAGGGTATAAAGGCCCCCAATATTTATTGGGAGCCTCTGAAGACTTGTTCAATGCTGCCCCATTACAGTGTAGTGACTTTGAGTTGCTACAAAGTTATCCTCAATTAGTGCTTTATGGGGTCTCCAAAGACCCATTATATATATAGTCAAATGGGGTAAGACAGGATCGCAGCCTTCATGGGGTAAGAAAGGACCAGCCCATGGCATGCATTCTAATTGCACTGAATTTAATTTGACAAAAGAATATGTTAGAACAATCATTGCCTGTCATTTCAGTGTTTGTGGCAACCCTCTTCTGCAAATAATGAATTTCTGGCTAATTTTTAAAGATCACCTATATAAAGAAGGGTCGCAAAATAGTTAACCCTTTTTGGGAAATAAGCTCTGTCTAATGACAAAAAATTTGTTGGCCAGGTTTGTGGATGTAGGCAGGTAACCTCAAGTAATAGGCAACTTTTTAGACATACTAGGCATTCCTACCTGCTACCATCACTGCTTGACATGTATTCTAAAATGGGGTAAAAAAGGACCGGACATGGGGTAAGAAGGGACCACTAAATGATCCTGTTTTACCACACAAGTGGTCCTGTCTTACCCCATAAATGGTCCTGTCTTACCCCACAAATGGTCCTCTATCACCCTACAGTTTATCAAAAATAGTTTTTAAATGAATATAATCAATATATTATTGTATTGTACATGGCGTATTTTGGTCAAAATTTTTATCTTTTGCTAAAACTTCATTATAACTTGTTAGCTTTTTTAATTAGAGAAATTTAGTGCACTATTTTAAATTGCATCAAAGGATATAGGTAGAAAATAGGGATGTCTATTCCCATTAGTGAGCTGCAGAACTATGTGCAAGATTGGCTGGGGGAAAAATCACTGTGTGAAACTGGAAACATGAAAAATAATTATGATCACAACTCTGTGAGAGGGCATGAGCTATGTTTGAAGAAGTGCACCACAAATGCAGTTAGCAAGAAAACACATGATGTCTGATACTCAAGTTATTATCCATTGGTTTTATTACCAATTTTATAAATTTTTCAGACAATGACACTAATGGAATGTACTTGAAGCATTTAGCAGTGCCCTACAATAAACCAAAGCCAACCCACTATTACTATGCTTAACAAAGTTTTCTCGTGACAAAAACTTCAATGTGACTGATATTAGAGTTGACCTCCCACAACGTAAAACAGTAATAAGTGTTTTTTTAATCAAATAATGTGTTTCTAGATGAATAATATTGAATATCAGATTTGTACTTTTATTTAAAACCTTGTAACATAAGAATAACTAGTCGGTCCTTTCTTACCCCAGCCTGGTCCCATCTTACCCCAATGGGGTAAGATGGGACCAGCTCACTTTTTTTTTAATCTGTACAGATAACTATGTTGTATGCAAAAAGTCCGAGTTGTAGCTTAGAAGCCCATTGCATAATTACACATTGTGAAAGGTTTCTTAGTTATTCATGGTATAGCTGCTACAGGCTTGTTAGTGATTTCGGTCCTGTCTTACCCCATCTGACTATATATTATGTAGTCCCATCTTTTTATTTATTCTTGAAGTTGGTGCCTAACGTCTTATTTGAAAGTCTGCAACACACACACACAAAAGAAGTATAGAAAATAAAAGGCAGAGATTGAAAGAGAAGATGAATAGAATAGTGAACATGGTGTATAATAAAGATGGCTATGTATCTAAGTAGAGAATTGAATGCCTTCATACAGTCTTGCCAAGCTGAAATATCTAGTAGAAGCCACTTAAGATTGTGACAGAAATATGTGCTTGCTGTAAATTCCACTGATATTACTAATGCTCTTTACTAATTTTTCCAGTAGAAATTTAGAAGAATGGAATATCTTTGCTTAGTATTTTCAAAAATAGAAAATCTATACTTTTTGACAAATTTTTTGCAATATTTGATTGGCATTTTTGGTGTTGGAAATAAGTTTGCAGATCAGGCAGCTAAGTTATGTGACAGACTCAATCAGGTGTGGAATATCTCTAGGTAAGTACTTATTGTGCCATGAGTGGAGTTGTCCAGATATTTGCAATTGCAAAATTCCTCCCAGATGAATTATCTCTTGTCTCATTCTTAACTAAAGTTAAGAATTAGAACTGACAATTCAAAGTTATCAAAAATACCGGTACCGGTATGTCCCTGTAGAGCCTTAAAAATTTTGTATTAACCCTTTCACAGGTAAGTTACCATATATGATCACTTGAAATCGCGTCACAAAAAGCATCACCACGGCTTCCTGTTTGTTTTTGAGGCATCCTTATAATGCCTCAGTCAATCACTAATTATCTGACCATCGTTCTATCTATAGCATCACCAGCTGCAAAGTCCACAAATTGAAATATGAGCATTTAAATGAAGGTTTTGACTCGGACAATGGAATTGACGCTCTTTCCGCATTTTCTTCAAAAGGTGGAAGTATCAATCTATATATTTATTTATTTTGGCAACTTGATTAAATTTAATTAAATTAAATTTTTATGTTTCTAATTTTTCATTTGCATAAACTGAATTTTAATTATAAAGAAAAATTTTGTGTACTGATCGCATTTATTGAATTCTTCAAGTGCGATTTAAACCTTCAATAGGCAAAATTTGCAAAAATTCATAGAAATAAATATATTATATAATACTTCTTACTTTCTTGAAATGGTTTCTGAAATTTTAATTTCTGGATATTTCAATGCTTGCCCGCTAAAGGGTTAAGCAAGAAATTTCTTAATTTTTGAGTTAAACTCATCTTTTGTGCATCAGACTAGATCATCAGGTATACCGGTATACGGTAACATGTGCCTCTATAACACACATTGTAATCTTGCCTGAATAAATCATACCATGTTTCCCATTTTTACAGGTAATTCATTGGTGATCACCTCACTTTTAAGCCTTTAATATTCCTATTTATTTCTTCTATTAGTAATTATTGTTCAACATGATGGCATGTACTGGGAATAAAGGCATATCAGCTTTCTGTCTTACTAAATTATTGATGAAAGGTTTATCACTACCTCAGAAAAAGTGCTTGTGTCTATATCCTGTTAATTTGCACCCCAGGAAAGTCACCAGGCATAGTGTGCCTGCACCAGAAGATTATGAAAAAGTTGCCTCAGAAACTGGCTCTGATTTACAATCTGCTGAAGCTTTATTGACCAAAACAAGAAAAGCCAAATTGGAAGATCCAGTTGCAATGAAGTGGAAGCTGCATTTAATGTCTCAAGCAAGTACAGATTTAGATCCTGAAGATTCAGAATTTCTGTACGTTACTAGGTTTGGGTCAGTGCGATTAGATAATGATAATAAACATCATACAGAATTAGGGGAAGATACTCTAACTGACCAACCAATTGTGCATAATGATGAAATGAATCTCATTGATCAGCAATATTTTGATGTGGAAATGTTATCAAGAAACTATCCCCCAGTAACAGAAGAAAAAAATCAAACCCTTAATGCGGATAGTGACCCAGCTACGTTTATTGACCAACAGTATTTTGGAGATGCATTGGATCGAAGTTTGCCAAGGGAAACTGCTGCATCAGACCTGCCTCTGCCCAATTTTAAGCAGGAACTGAATAATGAAGAATTGAACTATATTGATGAAATATTCTTTAAAGATGAAATTCAATCCAAACATGACAGTTCTCAGAGGAATGAACTACCTGGAAGAAAAATGGGGGATTTTGAAAGATCTCTCCTTGACATTGATGACTGTGATTCAAATTCTGAAACAGTTCCAATATTATCACCTCATGCTAAGAAATTGCAAGATGAACTTCTACTCAAGTTTAGAGAGAAAATACTACCAAATAAAAGCATCAGTGGAGAGGTTCCTTCACTTGATAGAACACCTAAACCTAATGCTGAAAGTTTACACACTTCAACCAAATCTACTTCTGTAAAGGCAGACATTTTGGACGAGTCCGCTTATGATGCTGATGGGTCCAAAACCATTCATGTATCAAAGGAATGGTTCAGTAAAAATAAAATTGAACTAAAAGTAGCCCCTGATAGTGCCTTATCTTATGCTTTGAAATTGAGAAAAGATAAAAAAGAGAAGAACCTGCAGGAGGAATCAGAGGATGGATCTATTTATGTTCCCACCTACAAGCGGATTATATCAAGTGTGCTGGATTTAAGAAAACTCTCCAAGTATGACTTGAAGAGAAAGTTGAAGGACTGGATAATCTATGATGACAGTGGGTTTTATATTTAAAATAGCTTCATTGTTCAGTATTGATCATCAGCATTTGTTAAATTTGGCTCCACAAAAGACTGAAAATGAGATTTAACAATTTTTTTTTGTTCAAAGATTCCACAATTAAGCTTATCAGAAAATTGCAGTTCAATGGTTTCAAGGGATACCTATTTTAGATGAATTTTGGGATACCTATATATATTTTTCAATTGCAAATTATAGGTAATGTTTAAAAGTTGTTTATAAAAGTTGTAAAAGTGAAAAAATGTTACAAGCAGTAGTAATATATATCAACTACATAACTAATTTCAAAAGTCAGTGGATAGGTATGGTATGTATTTAATCCTTTCATATATAAATTGATATTTCCTTGTTCAGATGACATAGTAGGCATCTATAAGCCATATGGACTTCGTGCTCATGGTGGCGGTGACAAACGATGGGAAGGCTCCTGGACCTTAACAGATCTGATGCCTGAGCTCTGTAACATCCTTGATGCTCAACAGCTGCATCACATCCATAGACTGGATGCTAACACCTCAGGTATATTCATGATGATGTTCCGTGCACTGTTTCTAAATTTTAACAGGACAGTAGTTGAGACACTAAAGTGGCTATCCTGTCTGGCTTATGTTTCAAGTTCCAAATCCGGTTCTTTCAACTGTTGTGTCATTACAAACTAAATTACATCATATTGGATTATTGGCAAATTAGTGGCACTGCCATGTCAACTTTTTTCAGCACCCCAATTAGAAGAGATCAAATAATGCCTAGGTTGTAAGTTTTTCTCTAACATTTCCCAAAACACGCAGTAATTATTTTCAAATTTAAACTCATCTGCTAAAACAATCAACTAAAGCAGAAATTGTAGTGTGAACAAACTGCCCAGCCTACCAATGGTAACCTCTATATTTGCTATGGGTGGTATATTTCTTAATATCAGTTTGTGTAACCAATAATCCTAATTTGACTTATTGATCTTAGCTGACTTGCCGATTTAATAGCTATATTTGCTAAGTATATATGTTACTTCCAACTGATACTCTTCAATATTTCTGCATATCACTGTTATTCAAATTTAGTTTCTTCTCAAGCTTTTCATTTTTGAACTCAGTCATGTATTTTTAATTTGATAATTGAAATTTTTATTGATTATCAGGTGTACTGTTATTTGGACGTACGGAGGAGGTGGCGCAGAAGCTGCGACAGATGTTCAAAGAACACACAATCATCAAGACATACCTCGCCATTGTTAAGAACATCCCCAGCATAGCTCATGGTGAGCTTATTGTTTGTATTGGCTCAATACTTGCTAAAGTGCACAAAAAAGTGTTACTATGGCTCAATAATTTGTAAAATGGCTCAATACTCTTAGCTTTGCTTTGATCTGCGTATATATCTGTTATCTCCATGTGTTTTACAAAAATCGTAACGCATTATGCTGTCATTTTCATCCACTGTATTTTCATAGCCTGGCGTTAATACCTGTTAGTGCACTAACCTTTGATGGAAATGTGCGCGCAAGTGTACTAAAGTTTGATTGAAAAGTACACAGAAGTGCATTAACATTTGATTAAAGAGTGTGTACAAATGCACCATCATGGGTTTAAAGTAATATGGATCACAACCTAAGTATGACCCTATATTTTGTTTCCCAGGATTGATCGACGTGCCGCTGAAGGAGGGTGTGGTAGATGGCAAGGTCAGGATGGTTCTTAGACCCGTGATCGAGGGCGTCAACCAGCGGCGCCAGGGCGGCCACAAAGCTGTCACTAAGTTCAAGGTAAGAGGAATAAATCAATTAATATATTTAGTTCTCCACGATTTCATCAGAAACTGCATATTCCACATGAGAGAAAATACAACTTTAACAATAGTTGTAGAAAATGTATATGTACTGAAATGAAATGAAGTGTAAGATCTGTGACACGATCCTGAAGAGAATCCAGCAACTGCAGGTGTACTCAAGAACCAGCCTTTCTCGCCATGTAACCTCCTGACAGAGATCGCGTATCCTCACCGCAGAAATCACATATCCTACCTGCAGAGATCACCTTTCCTAACCGCGGACATAGGCCTTTTTCATATACTAAAATATCTAACCCAAACCAAAATAGTCAAATTCAACGTAACTGCCGGCCACTAAAACGCCGTTCCGACCGTTTTCCACCGTTTTTGTTTTCAAAGAGTGCAACGTCTGCTCGCTGTCCTCTTCTTTCACGTGTTATTCTCTACGTCCGTTGACTGTACCTAATGCCTGCATGTTCTCCTTGACGTCCGCTCATAGCCCCTGACATCCGCTCATGGTCCCCGACGTCTGCTTATAATCCCCACGTCCAATCGTAATCCCTCACGCCCAATCGTAATCCCCCACGTCCAATCAAAATCCTCCCACTTCTAGTCATAATCCCCCACGTCCAATCACAAGCCTCCACATCCAATCATTATCTCCGATGTCTGCTCAGAATCCGCGAAGTTTTGTACCAGACGTTACGATGATCTCTCCGTAGAATAAATAAATAGGTGAATATATAAATAAACAAATAAATGAATATGTCTGCCCCAGCTGCTAAGCTGCTGCAACAGCGCGGGTCTGATGAGCGCTCAGCCCGTGACGGGCGTGAAGCACCAGATACGCGCGCACCTCGGCCTGGTACTCAACTGCCCCATCCTCGCCGACCACAAGTACTCCAGCTCCTCCAAGATGGTACCGCAGGTAACCCAAATACTCGACGCTCATTGTTGCCCTAATACTTTGCACTAAAACTATTTAATTATCTCGTATAGTTCTTGAGAGGTCGTCCAATATTTTACATCAGGTTGTCCTGATACTCAAGGAGTAGGACTACCGGTATCGTCCTACTCCTTGGAGTCCTACTCACGGTATTGGAGTAGGACTATCGTCCTACTCCAATACCGTGATACAATACCTACTACCTACCGTGATACGTCCTACTCCAATACCGTACGCCAATACTCACGGTATTAGAGTAGGACTATCGTCCTACTCTAATACCGTGAATTGATTTGCTTGTCTGGAACAGTTCGGGAGAGGTCGTTAATGATGTTGCCTCAGGTTGTGTAGCTACTATGAGCTTGAGCGTTCTATATATACTACGTAATCTCAAACCTGATTAATTTGATAACCAACAATTGTGCAGTTTGAAATACTGTGCTATGTTTATGCGAATACATTGCATACCATCGCTGTTTTAGATCAATCTCCCAATAAATAGATGCGTCTGTTGTAGCCTATTGGGGATTTATATTTGTGCAGTTTCTTTCTGCTCTGTCACTTCGCTCATGGTCAGCCGGGGAAAATTGAAGACTTCCTGTATTTTTTTCTGTTCCTAACTTAATTTTAATTATAAACGGTCTTCATTATTAAATGTAAAAGAATTTTAATTAGTATCATTCAAACTTATACTCTACCCATACCTCTACCTACCTATACTCTACTCTACCCTAGTATCATTCAAACCTATACTAAATTTTCACATTTTTTAACTTTGTAATGTCTGATTGCGTGCCCGCAGAAACTGCCGTCGGACATCTTGCATCGGTTGCACCTGAAGCAGTCCAAGGTGCGAGACCTGCCGATGATGCTGCACGCCAGCAGCGTCTTCCTGCCTCAGGTAGCGGTCCTAAAATAGACTCCGTACTTCATTTTCTTGCGCTTGGCAAGTAATATGTTCCATTATTAAAACGAGCCCTATGATTAGCTGCCGGTAAGTTAGAAAACGCAGTCAAATTCTCAAGTCAACTCCGGTGTCAAGTCCCTTTGAAAGAGTCGAATATTTGTTGATAAAGTCTCATCTTCTCTAATATCCAATTATTCGCAAGAATACTGGTCCATAGATGCCACTAAGAAGAATACAACTAGTTCGAAGTAGCCACGTGGTTAAGATCACCAGCACCGAGTTTCGGATTTGAAGCCATGAACTAGATGTAAAAATTCTTCGATGTTTTGAACTGGCGACTAGAAAAACATGACCCAGAAGTAAAGGGTTCCGTGACGGGAAGCGAACAGCCATTAGAATGCAGTAAGCACACCGACAATGAGGAGCTTCTTTAACGCTGACACCGCCTTAATATTCTTATTGCTATACTTATTTAATACCTATGATCTAACGCTATGTGTTTCTGTGGGCAGTTCTGTGATGGCAAGAACATCAAGATTAGTTGCCCACCTCCTCCTCACTTCACGCTCGCCATGAAGGCCCTGAAGCTTTCCTCCGCTCTGAACCACACGCAGCAGAAGTCTCTTGACTTCGTTGACCTCGCGAGGGAGCAGCTCTAGCTTGTGAACTTCATTGAATTCTTATTGCGATGCATTTGCTTTGCTATGAACGAAAAAGAAAAAAATCGGGAATTTGTAAAACATGGGGAAAATTGTTATTACGGACAGATGGTTCGGCCATATTACGGTAATAGTCGCTTCTATTCCGATCAGTGAGTTTTTAATCAGTCAACGTTTGGTTGGGGTACAACCGTGATGGGTGTCCCTGCCTGTGAATACCAGATGCTGTTGAACATTTTTTTGCCTTGTTCAAGGGATCAAGAGCATCAATATTGGGGCTGCAAGTTGCGGGCTCGAACGCCAAGCAAGTTGAGAAAATTGTTCAAAGCCGCTTTAAGGCGTGTCACTGCCTCGTTTGTTCGGTATCCTAATAGAATACAAAGTTAGAAAACAGTGAAAACGGATGCAGTCGAGTTGCCAACTTCTTTCAAGACTTTAAACAAGTGCCGAGGTCATTACTGATGAAAGATGGAAGATTTTATTTCATTATACATGTAACTAGATGAGCGTGAGGCTATAAGACACGTAAGAGAACTTTGCAACATCTGATTTCTATGTTCCTATTGTCTCACTTCATGTGACCAGTATTTTTGACTTCATCTCGACTGTTCCACCATTGTATTAGCAATTGTTCTCCCTGACGGCCAAGTGTAATAAATATGACTCAATGGAAAGATTTTTGTTTAAATTTAATCCTGTATTCAGATAGTTTTCTCATTTATTAGTATCTCATCTATGTTGCTGTTTCTGATATGACGAAACCTAAAACTTGACGTTGAAAAAAATGCGACTTTCGACGTTTAATTATTCCAACCCGTGACTTGTTCCCGGAATTTTATATCTTCTTTGTTGTTTAAATTATTACCAAACTGCCTATCGAATGAACGATGTATTAATGAACGTGACTACGTGAAGTAATTCCTGGAAACTGTCTAGCCCGCAGGGGACATCGGAAGAAAAATAAAACTTATGTTGGGGACACGGGACGCTCCCCCGGGCTAACCCCAAGTCCTTGCTACCCAAATGCTGCCTGCTAACACATTAGCAACTAATTTTCTTGCGAGGGAAAAATACCACATTGCATCCATACCACGTTACGGAAATTTATTCATCAAAAATATACGACAGGCGACGTATCTTTCCACCTGATTGTAGTGCAGCCTGAAATTAAAGGTTATACATTTGTCCAAATAGACGAATGAGCTTAATATAAAACAAAAGTCGCCATTTTGAAAGGCGACATAAATGTACAGCTGGAAGCTTAGGCAAAAAGCGAAACCATGAGTGATGGACTGATCTTGAAACGCGGGAATTGACCTTTGTCTGCCTTGTGGTACTCGTAGATTCGAACGGAATTATCTCTGATGATTTTTGGGGTGATTGAAAAGATTGGAGCAGTGACTTGCTGGCTCGAATCCTGTTTCCATTTGTAAAAACTATGGTTGAAAATAACGTGGTGGTCGGGTGGTTAGGCGCAGCTAAATTGGAGCACTAATTACTCGTGGGAGACTCGCGGGTAGCTCTTGAGATTTTGCGAGGCCGAGAATCTGCGACAGGCCAAATATGGGCTTAATCTTCAACCATGATGGCCCTTCATGATTAAAAAAAAATATTTAATGGTGTTGGCAGCTCGCTCCCTTGTCATGTAGGGAGACATAAGGTGCCTCGAATATTACAGTAATTACTCAATTTTTCTATTCATATTAAACGATGAGGATTTTTTCTTTTCTTCGAGTTTAAATTTGTGATTCTTAACCCACCCTTTTAACACACGGTCAAAGAAAATGATGGAAATAATCCTAGCAAAAAACATTAAAACTTCAATAATAATGATAGCGATGTCAGCGTGGCAATTTGGTCATCAGGCTTGTCGCCGATTCTGAAAATCGCAAAATTTCAGTTATTGTGGGTCTCGAAAACGTAACGTGAACTCTGCTCCAATATCCACTGAGCTTAATTAACCACACGGCCACATCGCCAATTTCGACCGAATTTATCACAGTTCCCTACTGATATCGAACCGACAACTCACTGCTCCCATTGTGGTGTTCCGAACTTTAACCAATCGGCCACCCTACTGTAATTGGTATTAAGCAACAATGTTTTAGTGGCAATATTAATGATGGCGCGGCTTAACTGATGAGATACAGAGACTGCAAACGAACAGATCGGTTTCATTGCTTGGAGGTTGGGAGGCAACTGGCTCCATTTGCGAAGATTTCTGTCAGATAATGATAGTCATAGATGCAAACCGAAAAGACGTCGGCTATTGTACGAAGTAAAAAATGACTTATTTGTATGAATGGTAACGATATATATTATTACAGGATATGGCAGCCAAGCTTGTTTAAATTGCTGCCTTATCATTGCAGGTTTTTCGCAGGAAGGAATAATTTTCTCTACCCAGTGCGACTGTGGTAGCCTGGGAATGATATAGAGATTTGAGCTAGGTAGTAGTTACAGCTATCGGATAAAACTTCTTTGTCCGATAGCTGTGTTCAATCGAAATTTCATTTGATATCAGTTTTTGCGATAAAAAAAATGTGCTCTATAGTTCTGATCGCGTTCACACTGACGCAAGAGCCGTTTTCTCAAAAAGTGTCAAGATTTTTTCTGTAGATAAAGATACAACGGCTAGATTAATTTGCTTTTTTGTTAGTCCTTGCGTTCCTGGGTCAACATTTGTTACTCCTTGGTTTTTCACGTTCTCTGCATTTTTGGCGTTATATTTTTACCTTGAATCGTAAATGCTAGACTCGTATTGTATCACGTCAAGGCCGCTGCAGACCCTTATCTCGAGACAGCTTATCTCTGATACATCTCACCTGTTGATGAGAGAGGTTCACGGTCGTTGCTCGAGCTTGTCCGTGATATGCTCATCAATCCCGACTGCCTTAATTGTGCATATCAACTAACGTGAAGTTGCCCGGCGTGGTGATGATGTTCTCAGTTACTCGTCTATTGGCGCGGCCTCAAGAGTGCGACAAATTTGCTTAATGACGAAGTTTTTTCCTATATTTTCGTGAGTTAGACATGTGCTCATATATTAACCAACAAATATAAACCATTTGCTCGCTCTCCGATGGTGGCATTTGAAGAGATACGAAACGGGGCTCTTCAGTAGCCTATTCGACTGTCGTGTCACAGTATTACAAATTGGGCAAAAATAAGGATGGTTCCGAAGTGGTATTCAACTGTAGGATTTGTAAGGCGAAAAATTTAAATCGCGCAGATGCGAGTAAATATGACAAATGATTCGGCGAGAACATCTTCATCTTTTTTTCCGCTCTATAACGGCTGCCATTACAGTGACTTTTTTTGGCGGGAATTTTTTATTGTTTTTTTTTGGTCATATATATGTTATATCAATATGATTCTGTGTGTCGAAAGCCAAAGATTGGAGAAAACCTTTACTCCATTATTACTAATTCCCTTCATTGCTGCTTCTGCCCCATATAATGAATAACATAATTGTTATAATACAATTTCCAACAATATCGGAGTTCCGTTTCACTGTACGAAGATTGGGAACTCACAATATTGCATTCATTTTCTACATATCTGAGTAATTCTTACAGGTCCAATTTTTTCACTTTCAATTTAGGCCCAGAAAACAGTATTGTTACTGGCCCAATTTTTTTTTGCTTTTAATTGAAGCTTAGTGAATATTAGTATTCTTACTGTCTCAATTTTTACTCTTAATTGAAGCCTAGTGAACATTAGTATTCTTACCGTCTCTTTTTTTCACTTTTAATTTATGCCTAGTAAAAATTAGTATTTTGGCAGGCCAAATTTAGTACTGTTAGTTTAAGCTTAGTAAACGTTATTAGGAACACTAGTGCACACAAGATGGCGAGTTTGTATAGTGTTTTGCTGCGTTGGTTGGAGAAGAACCGAGGCATCATCGTGGTGCTGGTGGTGTTGCCGCTGTCGGTCGTCTTCAGCGCCTACGTCAGGCTGCGTCAAGCCGCCCTCAGGTGGCTGGCTGCAGGTCCTCAGCTACACGACAGCAGGGTTATCAAAATACAGGCTCAGGTATCAGACTCTTGTAATCTTTGTTGTTGCTTTAGATAAATATTCCTTTTCCCGATTACCTGAATTATCTTGCATTAATTGCAAGAAAATTCAATTAATCGGGAATAATTTTCCCGATTAATTAAATATCTTCCATTTGTATCGCTGTTTTAGATACAGAATCATTTTTTAATAATTGAATTATATGTTGATGGTGTTTTTTATTCATGAATATTGCTGTTTTATTTATATTTTACTACCAATGTTAGTTCACTGTTAAGAATTTTTTTCATGTAGAATTGTTACTATTGTATTTTTTACAATTATTGCAGTACTTTCTTTTCACGTGATGTTATCCATCCATTGCCTTTCCAGAGAGCTGTCTATTCATTAAAATATAACTAAGATAACATAAAATGATGACCACATATATTCACAGTTCCGAATTAAAGAAAATCTGATATTGAAGCTAGAAAATATCTAATAATTTTGTTAAGATTTTCAAAAAAACAATTTAACCTATCACTGCTTTGTCCCTCACGTGCTGGACACGTGACTCTTCTACTATACGTGACTATACGTGACTATACGTGACTCTTCTTCTACGTGACTTCTTTACGTGACTTCTATATACTTCATTCTTCTATACGTGACTTCTACTATACGTGACTATACGTGACTCTTCTTCTACGTGACTTCTATACGTGACTTCTATACTTCATTCTACTATACGTGACTTCTACTATACGTGACTATACGTGACTCTTCTTCTACGTGACTTTCTTACTATACGTGCACGTCGTTGCAGGTGAAGAGATGGGCCCAACGTAAGCCCTCAGAACGCAAGCTGCTCTGCACAGCTCGCCCCAACTGGCAGTCGCTCTCCACCACCTTCTTCAGGAAGGTGATTTGCTCTATATTTACTCACACACTTAGTGTGATAAGTTACACGCAATTACAATGAAATTTTGTGCGTCCAGTTTTCTATTGTTATAACTTCAAGATTATCCTACGGTTGAAGAATTTTCAATTTTAGATTTCATCTATTTAACAGAATGCAGCTAAAATTTGTATGATTGTGTCAGTGATGTGTTTTATTTGTTTGATTTTAACACGTGGCTGTCCTATTGTTATGACTTTGAGCTTATCATACAGTTGAAGAATTGGCAACTTTGAGTAATTATCTCTGCCATAGAATATTCCCAAAATTCGTTGTATTTTGTTCGCTTCGTGTTATATTTATTTGAGTTTAACGCACGACTCGGGCGGTGCAGGACCTGTGTGAGCAGATCTCGCTGCCACTGTACAACATCCTGAACCTGGACGAGAAGAACCTCGTGCTGAGGGTCGAGCCTCTGGTGACGGTGGGGCAAGTGACCTCATATCTCGTGCCTCGAGGGTACACCCTCGCCGTGTGTCTCGAGGTCGCCGAGGCCACGCTTGGGGGTCTCGCCATGGGCGTGGGGATGACCACGTACTCCCACAAGGTGGGGCTTGAGTGCCTCGGGGTTCGAGTTGAAAGTATGACTGTACAATAGGGTAGTATTGTGAAAACTACTCAGCGTCCTGCGGCAATTTTTGACAAAATTCATAGGTACTTTAGTTGTGATACAACAAGAAAAAAAATTGTCTTCCTGGAATAAGGTTTAGTTTCGAGATTTTTGCTCGATTGTCCACCGGATTTTGGTGCTGTAATGTTTTCAGTCAGGTTGATGAATTATTTTATCCATGCAGATATTTGAATTGCAGTTTCAAAGAGATTAAATGTGAGAAAATTCGAAACTTTGTGGCAATATGGCAAGCAAATATACAGCGTTCTCCTGGAACAAGCTAAAGAACTTTATTAACTTCGACAATTAGTGTAAAAACTTCACTTATGTGTCGCCAGGTTGGGTTGTACCAAGAGAGCGTGGTGAGCTACGACGTGGTGCTAGGAGATGGTTCTCTGGTTACGGCCACCGCAACCAACGACCACAGCGACCTGTACTACACCTTACCGTGGTCGCACGGCACTCTCGGCTTCTTAGTTGCGCTCGAGCTCAAGATAATCAGGATCAAAGTGGGTTGTGGCTTATTTTGTTCGTGCCGTGTAATCCGGATCTGGCGTTAGAGGACCTATCAATAGGGATCTTTCAGATCAGTTACGTAAACCAAAAAATTATCTTTGTTTCTTTTTGAAGTGGGCAGTAAGAGGGCATAGATCCATCACTTTATTTTTCTTAGTTATGTTTTTGGCCATGTGAAAATGAAGTTAAATCAAATTCCTTAAATCATGACCAGAACGAAGTAACTTCGCTAACACAAATTACTTTTGGGGCACAGAACAGTGAGAAGTAAACCTCATAGTCCGAACTCGAACCCCATGACTGGTAACAGTATAAGGGTGTTTTTTTGCATGCAGTGACAATTGACTGCAGTGATGTGATGGATCTGTTTCAGCACGTCACTACATAACAGGCTCAGTTACTTTGCAGCATGTTTCTGTTATACTTCATGTATTCTATCCGTGACTGTATTTAGGGTAAATCCTTCTGAGCGGACTAGATTGATATTTATATTTATTTTACATTATTTATTATATGATATTGATTATTTATTATATATCCATTGATTGATATTTATATTTATTGAACAAATGCCATGCTTGTAATATATTTAATGCCTGGCAGCCGCACCTGAAGCTCGAGTACATCCCTGTGAGAGGCCAGAAGCAATACTGCGACCTGATGAGGCGCGTGAGCGGCGCTCTGGACGCCAGCGCCCCCACGCCCGACTACGTCGAGGCGACCGTCTTCAGCAAGCACAGCGCCGTCGTCATGGTCGGCACCTTCAGCGACGTGCCTGATCATGAGCGCCATAAGGTACGTTGATCATGAGCGACATAAGGTACGTGTGCTCAGCAATCATGAGCGCCATAAGGTACGTGTGCTCAGCAATCATGAGCGCCATAAGGTACGTGTGCTCAGCAATCATGAGCGCCATAAGGTACGTGTGCTCAGCTTGATCCCCTTCTGCAACAACCCCTTCTTCAGGTAGTGGGCCAATGTCGTGGGCCAGTAGGTGATCCCCTTCTGCAACAACCCCCTTCTTCAGTTAGTGGGCCAATGGCGTGGCCCAGTAGGTGATCCCCTACTGCAACAACCCCTTCTTCAGGTAGTGGGCCAATGGCGTGGCCCAGTAGGTGATCCCCTTCTGCAACAACCCCTTCTTCAGGTAGTGGGCCAATGGCGTGGGCCAGTAGGTGATCCCCTTCTGCAACAACCCCTTCTTCAGGTAGTGGGCCAATGTCGAGGCCCAGTAGGTGATCCCCTTCTGCAACAACCCCTTCTTCAGGTAGTGGGCCCATGTCTGTCGTGGCCCAGTAGGTGATCCCCTTCTGCAACAACCCCCTTCTTCCGGTAGTGGGCCAATGTCTTGGGCCTCGATTATTACCTGGATGATAATCTTCCTGAAGATGATAATGCAATTTCAGACTCTTTTGATCTACTTAACAGTTATTCCTCTCAACAATCCTTATCATGCAAAAAACTGTATATTTTTGGTCTCTTATAATTTCATGTTTTCATTGATGTTTCCCACATCACTGTGATGGTCGTAATGACAATTACTTATATGAGCGACCGAAGTTTCCATTGTTAATGCTGCCTTGCTCAGTTCAGTTATTTGCTACGTCTTCGAGATATATTGGCGAACTGCTGAATCTTAGCCAAACATTACAATCTTCACGAGAATTTCATTCGAAAAATCATTTCAAGCGGCATTAAAAATTAAGAAAAAGTAAAAAGCGGCATTAAAAGAGAGCTCCATTAAGATCGTTTAATAATATTTCTAAAAGGGTTTCAACAAGTTTATTGCATTTATCGTTATTTCTCCTTGAAGGTATTTGTTCGGGTTCCTCTTGCCTCCCAAGATCGCCTTCCTTAAATTCACGACGACACCGGGAGTGCGCGCCATGACCTTCACCAAGCAGGTGAGTCACCTACCCATCTCAGGTGGAGGTGTTCACTACAATAATAATAGTAATAATAGCAGTTTCGGCGTTTATTAGGCCATAGGCCTGTCGCCGATTCTTAACATCGCAGAACATCCACAGCTTGTTGCGGTCTCGATATCACAACTCACTGATTCAAATTCTGCTTTGCTTAACCGCCCGGCCTCCTTGCCGATTCTGACCAGAAACTGGCGCACGAGCTGGGATCGAACCCGCGACTCTCTGCGCCAATCTTGGTACTCTGAACTGTAACCACTGGGCCACCCTGCCTTACATTCCTTTGTTATTTGGAGTTATGTTTGGAAACTATCCCTTTGTTATTGTGTAGCTGGACACTATCTTATTATTGTGTAGGTTGACGGAAATGTTTGTGGTGCAGGTGTTCCAGGACATTGTGCTGCCCATGAACCAGCTCGAGGACCAGATCAACAAGTCTGAGGAACTCTTCGACATCTACCCTCTACTGGTCTACCCTTGCCGCATCTACGACCACGGCCCCAATAGGTGCGCCCATCCAATAAAATAATTATTAGTTGATTCTTCAACATGTGCGCTAATCCAATAGATAATTTGTTGCTAATTGGATTTATCAACAGTTGCGCTAAACTAACAGGCAAATTAATAAATTAATTTACATGCTGGTCTGCCAGATTAGTAGAACTTTCTTAGTTTAGCTATTAATATAATATATACATCATAAGAATTTCTCGAGTTACATTTAGCTATTCGCGTGACGGCTGTTATTTAATGTATGAACATATTTTGTTGCATTTTGCTGTTAGCGTGACGGTTATGGAACACTGAAACAATATCGTTTGTTACGTTTTTCTATTTGCTTGACGTTTGTTACGCAATATAAGAATTTATTGTGCTATATTTAGCCATTTGCTTACGGCTGTTATAGCAGTTAACGGCTCTTATACCTGTTATTTGCTTGACGGTTGTTATAGCAGTTGACAGCTGTTATTGTTGACGGCCGTTATAGTTGACGGTTGTTATAGCTGTTATTAGCGTGACGGCTGTTATAGCAGTTGACGGTTGTTATAGTTGACGGCCGTTATAGTTGACGGCTGTTATAGTTGACGGCTGTTATAGCTGTTATTAGCATGACGGTTGTTATATCTTAACGATGTTAACGGCAGAGGGCAGCTGCGGCCACCTCGCCAGGACCAGCTGGTGCCAGGTGCGAGGTACGCGATGTTCAACGACCTGGGCGTGTACGGCGTCCCGCGCCCTGTGATGCTCAAGAAGCCCTACGACGCTGTCAAGCATATGCGCCTCATGGAGAGGTGATCACCACATTTTTGACACTTTTAACCCTTTTTAGCGCATATTCTCATTTATGAAAAAAGGCGCTATTGTGCTCGTCATGTCCGTCTGCCGTCCGTACGTTTGCCTGTCCGTCTGTCCGTGACTTCACGTTTTCGTAGACGAGAAAATGCGCTCTCTGTCACTCACTGCAGTGAGTACTGGGTTATATTTTTTATACATTTTCTTAGGAAATTCCCTCCCCATCCAGCAATAGAAAGAGCGGGGTATTGCCCAAATCAAGAGTTAACGAGGCTCTGAATTTCGTTTCAGTTGTTTAGTTTTCTAATTATTCGGAATTAACTTTAACTTAACTTGAATTAACTTCGCCATTTACCTGCACCATAGCTCATACTACTTGTACCTGACTTCATGCAACTGCACCACGCCTCGTTCCACCTGTACCTCATTTCATACCGCCTGCATCATACCACCTGTACCACACTTCAGGCCACCTGCATCATACCTCATACCTGAGTTGCGACTCACATAAGCTGTGCCCTTTCTAATGACGGCATTTCTCGTTAACAGATATCAAGGTACGAATAGCATGGACGTGGTTAATATATCGGTAGACGGAGTGTTGTACAGAGTTACCGTCTACAGACGGTAACTCTATTTACCAGGCTTTTAGGCATAAATATATAAATAACATTGATGACTTGTTATAAAGTATCAATAGGGTAGTTCCTTTTGCCTAAAGCAAAATGATGTACGGTGGGGATAATATACAACAATGAGATAATACTTAAAGATAATATAACTAAAAGAATGATGTTTGCCTCAGGTTCACCAGGGACTGCGGAGGCTACGCGTTCCTGTACGCAGACACGTTCATGACGCGGCAGGAGTTCGAGGAGATGTTCGACCTGACGGCGTACGAGCGCTGCCGGACCAAGTACTGCGCCGAGGGGGCCTTCCCTCACCTCTACGATAAGGTGAGGGCCAAGTACCATCCTTCCCTCACCTCTACGATAAGGTGAGGGCCAAGTGCCAGGCTGAGGGGGCCTTCCCTCACCTCTACAATAAGGTGAGGTGACGTAGCAATAAGGTGAAGTAGAAAAACTTGCAATTGACTTCAAAATGTATACTAGTTGATGATATAAAGCGAATAGTTGAAAGTGAGACATGCTACGGTTGACGATAAAATTTTGAAAATTTGAAAACAAAACTTACATTCATGTAGAGGCATATGTATTAAATGCCGGTGAAATATGTATACAGCTAGCTACCGAAAATATTATCGAGCCGATGGGTTAAGTATAAGTATCAGCAGCTGGGGCTGCCTCAACATTCATGTGCTGCTACCGTTCATTCGTTAATCAACATTCCAGCGATTAAATCATTCACTTGCTGCCCAACATTCATCCCTGACTGTTTCATACCTTACGTATCCCTGACGCTGCAGACGAAGCCTGAGATCGACGTGGTGGAGGTCGGCAAGCGCTACATCGACCCCCTCTGACGTGCCCAAGACGAGCCATGTTGCATCCTATCTTATGGTGTCTAGTATGGTGCCAGGTATAATATGGTGCTAGATATAGTGTGGTAGGTATAGTGTGGAGCTACTACCGTGCTAGGTATAGTGTGGAGCTAAGTGTTGTGTGGTGCTAGATATTGCGTTCATCGTATGTTACGGTGTCTAGTATGGTTCTAGGTATAGTGTGGTGCTAGGTATAGTGTGGTGCTCTGCACTGCGTTGCTTCATCACGTGTTATGCTGTCTTTGTATGGTGCTAGGTAGAGTTTATATCCAGTGTACTGCCATGCACTGCTACCATCACATCATTAAGTGTCTAGTATGGTGCTAGTGTAATACTATATCTAATGTACTACTCTGTCTGTAATATTGCTATATCTACCGTCAATGACACACGAGTGGCCACTCCCCAGATACTGCACTTATCTCGCCGCTCGCTAAGAGAAACAGCATCCATAATACAGCTCTGAGGCCGTGCTATAGTAACTTTTTATTACACGTAACAGCTTAAGTTTACGTAGCGGCCATTTCCTTACCTATGATTGGTGGGTATGGCTTGAAATGCTTTCGTTGATTGGCTGACGGGGTTGCGAACTACTTTTGATCGTACGGTCCCAGGTATGTGAGTTGAATTCAAAATAAACTAGAATAAATTAACCAAGATTAACTTGAGCATTTTATGTCTCATATACTTACCGAGAACATCATTGATATGTAGGGTTCGATCGCCTCATAATAAGTAGGAAGCAGTTGCGATCACGTTAGAAACTTCAGTTTTTTTCATACGAAATAGCTATTTTTATTGAAGACCGGAGACATACGTGTTGTGATGACATGAGTGGCGTTGATGTTGGTATTTTACTATGTTGAATATGATGTTTCTGTCATATCTAGGAAAAAAACTACGTCATGTACATTCTATGGCTGGTATAAAGCCTCTCCTAAAATATTACAAGGTCTAATTCTACGTGGTATTAATGCTTGGTGACTTCCTAAACCTCGGTAACCGTAAATCATTTTATGTTTTTTCCAGCGATAACGACAGCGAAATTCTTGTGATCCTATCTTTATTTGGGATATTAGGACGAAAAAATAAATTGATTGTACATTTTTGCTGAAATATATGTTTATTACCTTTTAGCTTTAGCCTATGAATTGCAGAATGATTTCCAGACTCATGACAGTTAAGATAGAGTGGACGAAATATTATTATGTCTTTTGCATTATATGCATTTATTATATATTTATATGGGTTGTTGCTTCGTGTTTTTCGTTACTAAGACACTTCACTTGTTAACGTAGAATGTTTTTTGAGAAACGAATGTTGCAGACGTTTAATGCGTTCTGTCTTTTAACAGACGTGAATGTTTCCAGCAATAATGTATTTATCTGTTAATATGCGTTATAATCTATTTAAACCAAATAATTCCTTAGAAGTAGCTAATTAATATTATTCACTTCTAATGGGTCATGTCTGCAGTCTGCGAGAAACGTTTTCTTGCTTCTATTGATTCGTTTTCTGAACCGCTAAAAGTGGCTAAAATTATGACCACAATATTGTACATTGTATGTACATTATGCAAGTTATTTCTACTGGAGATCATAAGAAACGAGTTGTCTCATTATCCTTTGCCGTTTGCTATTTAGTTGGTTTAGTGAAGGAAGGAGCCGAGCTGAGAGCTGGTGGTCGAGTACAAGTTTCATGATACAGGTTTCATACTACTATTACATACAGATCGATATTACATACATAATGAAAACCGGCCATGTTTCAACAGCATAACAACTTTGCATTGAGGACCTCGATTCGATTTTCAAATCCAACATAACATCAGTGCGAATCAAACGTCACGATTTAATCGTTGGTACAACGTCGTACGAGTGATATCATTGGATCGTTGTTCTGTAACATCAACATAAAGTTGAATAAATGAATTTTTTCAATTTTCGTTCTTGTATTTTTTCCAGCATGATTCCAACATAAACAAAGTATCTAAGCTGCTTCTACCGCCGCTATTTTGAACTAGACTGAAGTTTTTTAAATTTATGATTTTAGATATTTAAGTGTTTTTATGAAATAAAATTCAACGAAATTTTCATGATTTCCTCTACATGACAGTTTTAAATAAGTACTTTTATGTTGGCACAGTTCGTTTTGGTATACAATAGGAACTAAATAAAAGATTCATGTTAGGCAACTAGAAAGAGACTATAACTCGAACAGCAACAACCTTTACAATTTTTCATTAAATATTTATTTTTGACCCAGAATTATTATTTCGGGCAATATCATCACAGAAAGTAACCTGAAGATAACAGTATAAATATATTGTCTATATTATTATTGAATATTAGTGTAGTTAGGCAGAAGTTCTTCATTTATACAGGTTTGGTTGAAGACCAGAGCGTACTTTTTATTTACGATTTTCTTATTATTCTTTTCGATTAGCCGAACGAAATTTCTAGCTGGAGCTTGGAGATCAAAAAGTAGTCTCCAGCTAGAAATTTCGTTCGGCTAATCGAAAAGAATAATAAGAAAATCGTAAATAAAAAGTACGCTCTGGTCTTCAACCAAACCTGTATAAATTATTATTGAAGGAGATAAATCAACGAAGAATATTTTCATGACGATCTCTCGGATGCTAACTTCATTATGAAACTTCCGCAATGAAGATCATACATGAAAAAAAAATAACAAAAAAGGCCAATGTACGAGTAGGAGTTTTATTTAGTATTATTTGCGGTATTACAGCAGTAACTTTTTTATAATTGCACTTAAACTTTAAAATTACTTCTATGTAGCAGAAGTCCACTTACACACGCCACTTTAAATGTTTCATTCCTAAGAAAGGAGTGTTTTAAACGAAAATATTACTTATTCATCTCTTTCTAGACAGGTTGGAAGCCATCATATCTTCTGCGAACAAAATTCAGTCCGTAGGTAGGTTTAATTCCCCGATTTCTAGTGTTCGGTGTTATAGTCGACGTTATAGTTCCCTCGGAAGTCGACGATAGTTAATCCATTTGGGAACGTTAGTGTCGGAGTCAGAAAATCGAAAATTGTGGGAGAATAGGAAAATAGTGCAACGTCGAATGAATTATAACGCCTTAGGCTTAGATCAACGTTAGCAATTGGCGATCAAGTGAAACTCTATCGTGCACATAATCATGTCAATTTCGAAAGTTTCAAGTAAAGTTTTGTCGAAAATTTACGTCGATTGACCATTATTCCGAGCTAGGTACAAGACGGTTGATTTTTGAGAACTCATCTTCATGTGACTGAATTCACATTATTCACACGACGGACACATCTTCCAGACACTGGACAGTGTATTGCCTTCAGCTGGGTATAATGCTTCGAACATAATATTTCATTATATTTTTTAGCGACATATACACAAACGTTACCATTAAATATTCTTATCTTCTCACTTGACTAAACAGCATCGAAGGGGAATGTTATTGTTGCAATTTGTATTGTGTTTCCTGCTATTTTATGTCTTAATTTAATTCTATTTGATGTACTCCAAATGATTTATAATGTTTACCTGAAAAGTAAATGAACATATTGCACACCTCTCAGTTACAAATTTTATTAAAATAGCCAATAAACACATATTTAGCATTAAATTTACTTATTAACAACTACCTATATTTTCCTACCTTATAAGAAAATGAGTTCCCCAGCTTCATTAGTGATTAGTAGAGCGTATCGGCCTGCCCTTAAACTCAAAATTCACAAATATTGCGCAGCGATACACTTTATCCGTTTATCGAAAAAGAACAGGTTTGGATTTAATATGAACCATACTTAGATTCATTTTCCTTTATAAGTATTATTATATTGGGAGTGGGTTTTCTCTGTTGCGCAGAAAACGCTGTTTTGTCCAAACCACGCGCACATTCTTTCATCAGCCCGTTTCAGTCAGTCGGATCTCAGTAGTCTACTAGACACTTGTGAGGGTGGAGGTGCGGTGTTGGCTTTCTCTTCAATGTTGTGTTAGAAATTTTCCTTCTCACAATGGAAACCTCAGAGCACGAAGACAAGGTTGTAGGAGAACCACAGAAGGGTAGCCATGTGGTTCATGTCAGAGCAGATAGTGACAGTGAACTTCAGGCTCTGTTTGATTGCGTTTTGAAGCCTTCCAAACAGATGCCGCTTCAGAAACCATTCAAGATGCGAAACTTGCCTGCCTCATTCTTCAAACCCCCTACCCACCGTCAATCTCCAGCGCCCACAGTGACCCATTCGAGAGAGAGCTCCGCAGACTCCACTTATGGCGGAGGCGGTGGTGGAGGCCCTATAAGAGTTGGTGGAGCTATGTCTCCGGCTGCTGCTCCTCTTCCACCAGCTCCACAACACTTCCGACATCATTCCTCTCCTGCATCTTTGCAGCAAACTTTTGCAGTGGCACAGCAAACCAACATTGGTGGACATGCCAAACAACACTCCTATGATGCCCTTGCTGAGGATATGTCGCCACTGCCCCCTGGCTGGGAACAGGCTCGTACTCCACAGGGACAGATATATTATTTAAAGTGAGTATATCATTCTTTTTAGATGGTCATAGGGTCATAAAACTTGTCTATTTTTACTATAATTTATGAACAATGCTTGACAAATCTTGTACAATTTCAAATATTAATTGAATTATTAGAAGATAGATTTGGATATTACCCTTGTTGGAAAAGAGGGTAATTTTTAAAACTAAATTATAAACTGCATTTATTCACAAAAGTGACAAAATCAACATTTCATTATTTGTTTCCTACCTATTTGTACAAGTAGGTAGAGCAAGAAGCATGTAACAAAATTAAGAAATTCTACGATATCTAACCACAAGAATTATTAAAGTGAAATATTCCTATCCATAGCAGATCATGAAAAGAAAAGCACTGCATAAGCTTCCCAGAATGAGCAGAATCCCAGTAATGCACATTTACAGTTATTAACTGATGGGAACCTGATGAGTAAATTGTTAATGGATTTTAACTCTGCTCATGCATGAAGCTTTCTAAGAAGTGGCAAGTTCTTCAAGTGGCCTAAAACAAAATCATTATTCTTTTTGAGGTCCTAAAGTTAACAATAGGTATGTTATTCTATTATTTTTTAACAAAATGGCTGTTTTAAATGGTCTTTTTGACTCAACAATGAATATTTTTATTATATGTATTATTCACTTGAGATATTACATGCTTTCTGCATTACTGTTGATTGTAAAATATCTATGGTGCAGAACAAGTGTTAGTACATTTGTTTCAAATATTCTCAAATTCAAATCGAAAATTGAGGTGCCTGTAATAGAGCAAATTAAGCTGACAGTTGAAGCACAAAAGCTTGACTATGAATTTATTGAGGAGCTATCTAGATTATATGCTATAAGGAAACCTAAAATTTTCCAGCATATGAAGATAGGCTTTATGCTTTCCAACTTACAGTTTCATTTGATTATTTGGTTATACCTAAATTCTTTTTTTTTTGCCTACATGAAATTTTTTTGTTGCAACCTGCCTACCGTACTCTGTTTATGTATGCAAAGCTGCATTTCTTACATTTTTATTGTGGATCTGCATTTGATTTATATCTCTTTATTATATGTATAACTGTTTGTATATTGTTTTAGTCAATCTAGTGGCTGAGTAAATTAGCTCAGCTAATCTACACAATTTGCATTGAATTTACACAATCATATTCTATTCTAGGAAATTCACCTCACTGTCCAAAAAATTTACCTAATATCTCACAAAATAAAACTCATGTTCCACAAAATTGATATTGTATGCCATGCAACTTTATCCTTATTATACAAATTCAGAGTTGTCTCCTGATGTACACTACAAATAATTAATACACTGTTTTCATGTATATTATGTTTTCTTCTCGTTTGCCGCGCTTCCTACTTGATTTACTTCACCCACTCCCTTTTCCACTTTCTATCCCACTTACTCTTCCTTCCCTTCCTAGATATGACCTCGCGTTAGTCATCTCCATAGTTTAGTCGCTCTCCAGCCCACGTTGCCTTGTATATCCATATACTTGTAGCCATCGCCATCGACCATCATTTCGTCACTCAGAACGCATACGTCGTTTAATCATCACCTTCCGCGCAAAACTTAAGCGCAACGCAAAAGTCACCCTGTATTCATCACCAATCGCGCAACATTTCATTACTCTTCATGCAAAAGTGACCCTATATTCAACACCTATCGCGCAACATTTCATCACTCGCAACGCGCATTTCGCTCCGTATTCATCACTCGTCGCGCATCACTCAGCCTGCGCGTCAGTGTCCGTGTGTGGGAACAAAGTCCGTGAGAAGCACCGTTGAGACCTGCCCCTCTTGCTGCCCAGTTTCTCGACCAGTTGATCAAACATCAATGAAAGCTCTTACGATGGTGACTATCAGGTTTTGCGGTACTAAGGGAAAACTCAATCATTGCTATTTTACAATGAGCTACGCGCATTTCGGAATCATTTGGTGTTTTTCAATGATTCTTTTATTTTCTGTTCAAATATGAGATTTGTTTTTAGCGCATTTTCTCGTTTATGGAAAAAGGCGCTATCGTGCTCGTCATGTCCGTCCGTCCGTCCGTGACTTCACGGACGGACAGACGAGAAAATGCGCTCTCTGTCACTCACTGCAGTGAGTACTGACCTATTTTTTTCAATCATTCTTATAATAAATTTTGAAAAGTTGCATCGGCTTTCGGTGTCTGGTTATGTCCTGGTCGGAACTGCATTGTAGTATTAAGGCCGCACGTGCCAGGCTACACAATTTATACAGTTTGCGATGTAATGAGTTCTCAGGGTGCCCCGTGAGAGGGCATGAATCTTTGGCGGGACCCCGCAGCATGATGAGCCGGCCTAGCATTTCCTGTCGCGCGCCGGGAGGTCGCGGGGCACCGTGAGGCGGTGACTCGAGCAGCGCGTTACTCCTGCTGCTTCACTCGCTATCCTTTTCGCGCTGTGCGACTGATTATCATGGGCCGAGTCGCTACACGTGATTATGGGCCGAGTCGCTACACGTGATTATGGGCCGAGTCGCTACACGTGATTATGGGCCGAGTCGCTACACGTGATTATGGGCCGAGTCACTACAGTGGCTACACGTGATTATGGGCCGAGTCGCTACACGTGCGCTGTGAAGGATTAGTAGCTCACTACACATTTTAGAAGCGTAACGATGGACGTCGAAGGCCACGATATATAGATTCAAAATTGATACATGAGCAATATTATTGATAGTTATACACGGTTAGAACATTATTAATAAGCTGCCTGCGCACTAGGTATATAAATACGGAATGATCTACAGATCTAACATAACTAATTGCCCATGACATCGGGCAGTGACTCAAGACTCGTTTAATAATGTGTATGAACACAATCAAAGCTCGAATTGAAATTTATTTGTGAATGTCTTGAATTAATGTGTTTTTTCATGCTCGTTGGTGGTCATTATGTTTGATTTATTTTTTATTTTCGTTCTACGTTTTTCTACGAGTGCGAGCTGCAGGACCTGCTTTCGAATTCTTCGAATTTTTGCCAATGCTCTTCGTGTTCAGTTGCATCGGTCAACTTGAGCCTCGTGGACGAGTTTTTGTGCCTAATTGCCTTCATTCTTTTACTGTGAATCATGCATGAAATTCTTCTCGGAAATGTGACTTGTATATTCTCGATGTTAGCTGACGAATGTTTTCATCTCACGTCCTGTGCGACTGGTTAAAAATTCCACGCATGAGCGTGCGCTTTTTGTCGAAATCTCAAAAAATGCTACCAAATTCCTCACTTATTTTTTAAAGCTTTTTAGTATTTTTTTCTCTAGTGAACGTGTGAGGAAAATGACAGAGCATCGTGCTCACAGTGATCGTATTTTAAGAAAGAATTAGTTTTTTTTTATTTCATCTTGCATTCAAATTAACGGAAGACTATACACTCAACGCTCACAGTGGTCCGTGTTTCAACGCTTGGAGCAGTAAGCGTCTTTGCCGGACCGTTTGTAGAAAGAAAACGACCGAACCTTTAGTGCTTGCGCTGCCCTTCAATCAATTAATTATTGAAGGCTGAGACCGCATGTCGCTTGGGCCGTAGTTATCAATCACAGTGACGCGCTCGCATGCATGTTTCATGAACAGAAAAAATTTACTCGAGGGCATCATGATTTGGATTTCGGACGAAAATGTTGTCGGTGCACCCATGTGTCTCTTATGGTTAATATTTAATCTCGGAATGCACGTTTTTCCGCGTTTGACATCTGTATTCTGCTCTGGGAATACTTGCTTTAAATTTGGTTTACTTTTCTGCCAAGTATAAATAGAGCAGTCATCCCCAGTGTACATTTATTGAATGATGAAGATTGCTATTCGTGCGTGTGGTCTTCTTTGTATGGTTCTCATCGGGTTTGGTGATGCGCGCTTATTTATTGATAAGTTAAAATAAATCATACTTCAACTGAGGACCTGAAACATTTATGAACACTTTTAATTCACATGAAAAAATGAATGTTTTTTTTCTGTTAGCGTAATAAATTTTCATGTGAACACGTCAATTTCTAGATGTGAGAAAAATTGTTCCTCATTCCAATATTTAAGCAAAATAATCGTTGAGATTAATTATTGTCTGCTCTCCAGGCCGCCACCAGATCCATATGAATATTTTGGCGTGGTATTTTTAGGTACCGTACGAGTTAAGATCAGTTTTTCGAATCTATATCAACATCTGCTCATTATAGAAGATTTTGCCTTATAAGTCTGACTTATAAATGCAGTTCTTGATGTTAAATGACGACCGACTAAATTAATTTATTGTCCAGCATTTACTGCCTTGTGGCCGTAGAGTGTGACCCCCTTCCACGATCGAGCTTTGATGGCGGTTACGTGATATGTAGCCGTCATCAGCCTATGGTTTGTAGGCCGCCTAGCTGTTTGAAGTGAAAATATTTCACGATTAGTTTTAAATATCTTGGTAAACTTGACACATCTCTTTGAAAGATTCACTCGGAATTTTTTACGAAGTTTGTAAGCGATTGACTACAAAGTAACAGTTGAGATATTGGCGAAAATGAGAGTGCTTGCTTGTGGCACGAGTGAATTTTTTATATAACCAAATATTTGCTTTGAACTTTTGGTTTTTGTACAACTCCAAGAAATCTGGAACCACTGCTAGAATTATATGCAAGATTTCGATGAGGCGATTGTTTATTTAAGTTCAGCGCCACCGTACAAGCTAGAAGAGGATCAATGCTAAACAATAATTCCAAAGGTGCAGTGCACGCTTCTCGTACAACTAGGCATTATGTCTGTTACTCCGATTCTGTATAAAAGAGCTTATCAATTTATTCTACAAACGCCCTGCATAGGCCGCACATGTTGAGCAAATGTAAGACACCAATCGCTCTACCTACGCCTCAAACTTACTGGATCCTAAAATAATGTTCCCGTTATTTCTTTTCATTTATGTTACTATCCGAATTATTATTTCGCACAAATTTTATAACCGTGGTTCTGAAGCTAAGCATGTGCAGTTAATTGGTCGATTT